TTTACCCCCTCCTCCATTTTGAGAGTATATTTCTAGTAGAATCCTGCGCGTGTACACGTATGTGTGCGCATGGATTCTATTCGAAAATACTTCAAAATGTCACGATGGCGTCAAACAAAGCAAATTAGCTTAGAAAAGCCAAAGTGGATTTGAAAAAATCCTTTTTTCTTTTCGAAAAAGGGCTCATTTTCGGCCAAAACCCCTATAACTATGGTCAAATTGGGTTTTCCAAGCCCAAATTTTACAAGCGAAGACCATGTTATTCAGCCAAGTGTTTCGGGTTGATTTTGAAATTGAAATTGAAGATAAATTACGCTATGGGCGGATAGCGTGGTTTGCCCGCGGGGACGCGCACATGTGCGGGAGCAACCCGGTCCCACAGTTGTGGTCAAACTTGCCATTGCCAACGGCAGGTTGCACTGTGATTGGGAAGATACGTGTGGGCACAAGGGGTCCAAGACAGCAAGCAGTTGACTCAGCTTGTCGATCGTGCCAATGATATGAATGCAGCGAAAGCGCGCATTTTCACAACAACCACTTCGCCAGAGGTTGCTTACATTGACGTTGGCAGTGACATGATCCAGGTGACGGAGAGACACATATGTACCTCGGACGGAAAATGTGTGGTGACCTTCGACGCCAATCAAGAACAGAGCTGGCGCATCGTATCTGCAGCGTGGGGAAAGTTCAATAAGCTGAGATTCATCTTCGTGAACAAGCACTTGTCAATCAAAGGCATTGAAGCTTTTCACCGCCGTGGTAACTCTTACGGCACTGTTCGGACTTTCTACACTGGCTCTGACGGCACGACAGCTGGAACAGCTACTTGGTATATGCCAGCGAAAGATGTTACGAAGCACTGTTGGATGGAGTAAGCAATGGGATGATGAGTTGAACAATTTTGCAATGTCGCAGTTCCCTGGAAGTTTGTGGTCTGATGTAGTTCATTTGCCAAGATGGCCGTCAAGTACAGTTTGCCCCGGCCTCGCACATTAATGAGCTCGTAACACCCACTGTTGTCCTGAAAGGACTGTAGTCTTCGTGACTCGAACGGGCAAAGTGCAAAGTGTAAGTGCAAGTGCACCCAGCGCCGCCTGGCGTTGTTGCAGCCAGACCCAAGGCCGAGTCCTCAAGGCAACGCCCTGTGGCGGCGTCATGCTGGTCGGCCCCCGCATCTGCGGGCAGCCACGCACTTTGCAGATGATCCCGCTCAATAGACCTGCTTCTGCAAGTGATGTTGCAGCTGCCTAAAAGTTTCGGTGGCTCTTCGCCCGCGCCGATCCAGGCGCGGTCTTGCCGAGGTGCTTGGCGAGGGAATGGTGCATGCGGATTATTATGTTGAGCTCGACGGGTGCATGCGCGCTCGCGCAGCGCCCGGTGCTGGCCCAAAGCGTAGAGGCAGGGCATCAGAGCGTCTCCCTGCTCCCGCACCTTGTGCTCGCAAGGCAACACCGCTAGCCAAGTCACAGGGCTCGGCCAATGCGGAAAGCATGCTTTGCCTGGAGATGTGGTCAGAGGCGCGGAATCCTCGCATCACCTTCCCTGTCGGCCCGCATTGTTCGGACAAACGAAAGTGGCAAGGTCGACCTGCCGCAACGCACCCAAATGCATTGGAAGCAGGGACGGCAAGGGTGCTTGAGAAACTGTGGGCGTGGATCCGTGGCAGCTTGCGGCCGCCTCGTTTCGCGGGATCGTGGGATCCTTAACTTCACATCTGCCTCGACTTTGGCACGAGCTATCGCTATTCGGTTAAGCTCAAAGAGCTGCTTTGGCGCGAGCTGTTGGGTCAAGCTCAAAAAGCTGCTTTGGCGCGATGGGCTATTTGGTCAAGTTCAAAGAGCTGCTTCGGCGCGTGCGATGTTTTGGCCGAACTATGTGGTCAAGTTCAAAGAGCCGACAAAAGGCTGTTTTGGGCGAGCTATTGGGCCAAGTTCAAAGAGCTTTGGCGCGAGCTATTTGGTCAAGTTTAACGAGCCGCTTTGGCGCGAGCCATTTGGTCAAGTCAAAGAGCTGCTTTGGCGCGAGCTATTTGGTCAAGTTCAAAAAGCTGCTTTAGCGTGTGCTATTTGGTCAAGTTCAAAGAGCCGCTTTGGCGCGAGCTATTGGGTCAAGCTCAAAGAGCTGCTTTGGCGCGTGCTATTTGCTCAAGTTCTTGTTCAAGTTCAGAGAGCGGTTTTGGCGCGAGCCATTTGGTCAAGTTCAAAGAGCCACTTTGGCACAAGCTGCTTTGGCGCGAGCTATTTGGTCAAGATCAAAGTGCCGCTTTGGCGCGAGCTATTTGGTCCACCTCCCTCCCATACAATGGCCAACTTGCCAGAAGTTTGCCACGCGAGGCTCAGAGGCATGACGGTTTTTGCTTTTTGTAAGCCTTTTTGATTCCCAAATGCCCTAAAACCAATCAGCGCACGCTTTCTCGATGTTGTCTTTGATTGCCAAAAGAACAAAACCCGGGGCCCGCGCAGCTCCACGCCCAAAGCCCTTAAACTTTTTTCGCAGTTGGGAAAAGCCTTATAGATGTTTCCCCTGCGACCAAATACCTCGCCAGAAAAGCTCGTGCCAAAACAGCTCTTTGAACCTTTTCCAACAAGTACCAAAGCAGGCCGGAGCTCTGGCGCAAGCTATTTGGTCATCAGGGCGCAGATGGGGTGCTAGTTGCTTACGATGACGCTCAAAAACCTGTGCTGGTAACGTGATCGTGGCTGGAATTATACGAATGGCTGTCGTCTGAGGGTATGGCAACATCACACGGTCGCGGCAGTAGCAGATGCGAGTTCGCGTCCCGTCGCGTCTGCTTCCGCAACGTGCCCGATCTGTGCCACCGTCCAGGCGTCCCGCCGCCGAGTCCCTGCTTTCCCGCAGCGGTGGTCGGCCCTGCTCGCTTTCGCCGCTGCGTGGGCCCTCGTGGCTAGCCTGCTGTCGCTTCCAATCGCATGTCCAACCAAATCAGCCCGGGTCGCTTCCAGCGCTGCCGATATTCAACATTCTTGCTGATTGTGCCGGTCCCACCATGAAACCGCTTCATGACTACTTAATGTCAACGAAATGCAGTTGACGAAAATGGAACGTGCGTTGCGTAACAGAAACGCCACGCCACATCCTCGAGGAAACGAAAGGCCCATGCACCAATTGGACCAATATGGACCAATTATCCTTTCCGGGACAGGCGTGCAAACCACGAGGAAAGTTTTGCAACACAAAACACACGCCGCAGTGGAGGACAAACGATCTTCGATTTCAGGTTCACACATCAGGACTTCGTTCGAAAAACAAGTGATGTGAGGTCTTTGCCGGATCCTCTCGGATGCCTCTTGCGTACAGGTCCGGCGTCAAAAGTTGTGGGGGACTGGAAAATAGAGACGAGCACCAGCGGGCAAAAACGACGCGGAAACTTGATAGCACATTGTCCCCCTTGCTAACCGACATAACTGAACTTCTACAGATGATTCACTGGTGCAGATCAATGAGCCTACTTCGCAGCTGGCTTTGTGGAACTTTTCTCACGCGTCCGCTGCATCACCATCTTCTACACCCCTGTTATGACTGCATCATGGAAGTCACCACTCACTACCAACGCCGGGCCGGGATGTCAGCGTCGCTTCGGGGTGGAGGATGCCGGTCCACCAGATGGCGCGGAACGGTGTCGGGGACGCACATCTGCAGTTTTAAAATTGCCCCCGCCACGGCCAAGGGCACCAAGGCCACGCCGAAAAAGGCCATGCCAACAGGTCTGTTGACCACACTCGAGCCCGCAGGCCTGGCAACAAAGGCTGCATGTCGCGCAGCGGGAGCCATTGGTCGCAGGGAACAGGGCTGCCGGTGGGCACAGATTAAGCTGAACACGCCAACGCAAGCATGCACATGTGAGGCCTGGTCGACGTGTCAGGGTCGTGACTGCAAATGCGCACGTTGCGGGAGTTCCAGCGTCACGCGCGCTCGGGCCGAAGCGCACACGACACTCAGATTGTCCCCCCGGCGCAACGTCAGCGAGGAAGTTAAGCCCATGCTGCCCACGTGCGCAGCTCGCGCTCGTGCCACTACAAACCACGCAGCGCAGTACTTCCGCAGCCGCGGTCTTGGTTGTTGTGCAGGATTCACTGGGTGCAAAGGTGTGACTTGACAACGGTGCTTCCTTGAAGATCTGGAATTTCGCGCATCCTCGCACTCGCAAAAGGTCTTCCACTGGTCAAGGCGCCCAGCACTGTCCCCGAAAAAGATGCGACAAGCCCAAGCACAATTTGTAAGCAGCGGCAGCAGCTTCTGCAGTGCTAAGTCCATACACTCCACCAGCTTCTCACGCCTGAAGTTGACGTTCTGTACTATATTGCTGTGGTCGGAAAAGGCGGCGGAAGGCAGTTGCGGCACAGTGCCTGGCGACCTGCATGACACGATTGTTTTGTTGCATCTGAGGGGTGCTGACGCTTGCAAGCACTGACGACGTCGGGGCAAATGGGATAGCCACGCTGGGGCCGCTGAGTACAGTACGGGGATATATGGCAATGCAGATCGATTTTTACCATCGGCGAATTTGCTGTTCGCCTCGCATATGAAGAGTGGTTTGTTTCGGCGTATGTGCTACGAGTACAAGAGTCGAGTCGGCGTGTGCTCGCTGAGATCTGCGGCGCGGAATCGGAGGAAGTGCCGGGAGAATGGCGAGGGCGCAGACCCGGCGTCATCTTCGCAGCCTCGCTTCGCAAGTCGGCGTTCGTCTCTGCAATCCTTTTTGCACCATTTTGCACCAAGCCTGAGCTTGAGTTTCTAAACTGTCAATTCGAGGCCCGCGCTGTTCACGCAGCCGAAAAAACATGGCATGCTGGTCATCATGCTTTGGGTCTGCTTTGCAGCCGTCACACACTGCGCATGGTGCATTGATGCGCAATTGAGCCTCTGCACAGCCTTGAGCTGAACTGCGAATTCGGTTAAGCATTAACAGTGTCACTGTCACTACAACTACTACAAACCTAAGACTATAAGTGGAAAATCATGTAAATTCTTCACTCGACTCACTCATCCTCGAAATCCTCCTGGTACTCCCCCTCGCCGCCCTGCGAGACTGCTGTGTGGCGTGCGCGATACGCACTATGGTACGGACGGCTGAACTTTCCCGGCGTGCCCTGTCCTCGATTTCGATGTCCGTGGGGCTCGCACCTCCGCACTGACTGAAGGAAAGGGCTCAAAAAAGGTAGAGACAAGTCTTATGAAACGAAACGCCCCCATCCCCCCCCCCTCCCCTTTTAGCTCCCTCTGCGAGGCCCTTTTTTGAGGAGCTTCCGAGAGGTCACTGCTCATGGTCACTGCATGCTATGAGGTGCTCATGGTGTGCTCACTCCTCGCTCCCTCTCTGGGTTCGGGCCTCGCTCTTCTCGGTCTCTCGCGAGCCTGCCAAAAATTTACGGTGTCAGTGAGAGAAAAAAAGAAAATCCAAGGAGTATGCAGGCCGGGGTGACGCGGAGGGTACCTGACATCTGAGAGTCTGAGAGAAGACAATAGATTCACCTCTGCCTACGCTGGCTAGAGCTTCTGGGATGCCGGCGTCGATGCCGGCACCGTTGTCCTTCTTGTCGACCCGGAAGGTTACTGGCCTTTCGGGATGGAACCACATGGCCCCTCACTTAAACATTTAGTATCACGTCAACAGTGTCAAAAATCGCGTCATACAAAATGTGCAAAGAAGTCGTCGAGGCCGCGGCAGACCTGCCTCTGCCCGCTGCACGGCCTAGTCAAAGTCTTCAGCTCTCCAGTCTCTCTTCAGAAGCAGCGTGCTGATACTGGCTTTTCTTAAGCTTTAAGTTGGGGTCTCGTGGGCAAGTGGCAGAAGTGCTTGATAAGCTTCCGGGAGCTGTGATGGTCTGTGGCATTTGGTCCTTCTCTGCATCGGCGACGCGCCGCTTGGCATCTCCAAGTTCCTGCCTCGCCAGCTGAGCCACACAGCACCAAAGAGAAAGAGAGAGAGAGAGAGAGAAAGGAGAGAGAGAGAGAGAGGAGAGAGAGAGAGAGAGAGGAGAGAGAGAGAGAGAGCGCGAGAGACAAACAGAAAGAAATACGGAGCGAGAGCACTGAGACTCAGCGAGCACGGGCTTTGAACGTAGTCCTAATGCCTTAGGGACCGGCCGCAGCTTCAGGCCTCCCCAACAAAACAGGCTCTCAGCTCGAAACTTTCACTTACAGCACGTGAAGCAGCATCGAATCAGTAGAGCCGATACGAAAACCAAAACCGATTTGTCCAACTCCACACAATGTGAACTCCACACAATGTGAGCAGGTGGTGAGGCCGCTTCTTGAAGTTGTACCCCGCCCCCTCATGGCCGTTCTGCAGAAGCCGTAGCCACCAGCTCCCTCCCAGGCCCCCAGGCCAACGAGCAAGCATATGAAGGGTGTTCCGCGTGCGTTTCTGGATGCTTCAATTCAAGGTCGGAATTGGGGAGGCCACCACGAAAGTCAGGATAAGGCATCGTGGCGCAGGACCTTCACTGGCACATAGGCACCATCTGGCACCGGCCCGGTCTGGGCAGCGGCTGTGGGCGACAGCCCGTTGCAAGTCGAGTGTGCACGGTGCATGGCCGCCCTCGTCCAGGAGCTTCTTGTTCTGCTCGTTCAGGCTCTCGATGGTGCGATCGCACTCATCGACCTCGAAGGCGCCACTCCCCAGACGGGAAGAGCGAGAGAGAGAGAGAGAGAGTGGGAGAGAGCCTTCTACGTGGCACACACAACGTTCTGCACCCACCATGCGGCTCCGGGGAGGCGATGGGAGGCGGACCTTCTCTGCGTACTCGTCCTTCAGCTCATTGAGCTGGTCCGTCAGATAGCAGTAACCTCACATTGCAGGACCCTGCCGGGAAACCTCAGGCCGCGGGCCCCGAGCCTTCGTTCGTGTTCAGGAGCTCCTCTTCCTGCTCTCAACTCTCGACGCCGCTGCTCGGACTTCGCTGTATAACAGTCGTATAACTGTACTATGCTGGAATCATTCATCGGAATTTATCGGACGTTTCCCCTGGTCCTTGGCAGCCAGCGTGTCAAAGAGCAGTACCTCCTGGCCTCTGGCCTCGAGTCGAAGCCGAGAACTTCCGTTGTCTCGTCCAGCTTGTTCTGCGTTTGTTCTTTCATGTCTGTCATGTTCATAATTCTTGCCCTCCGTTTCGAGGCGCCTGGAGCCTCTCTCTCTCCCTCCACCTCTGGGCTCCGCTTGCTTCAGTTGGATCGTCTTACTCCGTGCATTGCTCCCCTTCAGGCCCTCTCAGCGGCCCTCTCCAGCTGAGCTCCCGAGCCACGTCGCGCTCCTCGGTGAGAACACCGATCTGCTGCTGCAAATCCTGCATCGATATGAATGCCCTCTCTTCGCCGTCACTCGCTGTCCCTCTTCTACTCCTCTTCTCACTCGTTGTCCCTGTCTGCAGCACGCGCCTCGTTGGTGCTTTTCAGTTCCTCGGTCTTAGCCTCCAGGTCTCGCACCTCTTCGGCAGCCGATTCGGCACAAGGCGATTCCACATTCCATCAGCTCTTTTCCATTTCTGCACCCCCCCCACCCCCCACGCCGCCCGACCCATACCCTGCCATGCCTTGTCCCTCTCCTGCGCTGTGTCCTCCAGGGCCTGCGCGTACTTTTCCTGAGAGCACAACACCCACAACGGCCCACAACAGCTCACAGCCAGCAGCCAGCCATCCAAGCCCGTGCCTCCAGCGACTGCACTTGCGTCTTGGTGCTGTCCTGCTCCTCACTGACACCGTCGCTACGAATGGTACTACGTAGGACTACCCACCATGTTGCTGAACTCTTCTAAGGGTTCGCGCAGCTGTGGGCCCCATCGGCTATGCATGTTGCATGTTATCGGCTAGTTGCGCATGAGTCGCGCGAACACTCGAAAGATGCTGGGCCAAAAGGGCTGGGCCCACGGCCACGCCCATGCGCAGCTTCTCCGCCTCTGCGTCCGCCAGCTTCTGCTCACTCTGTGCGACCTTTGCCCAAGCCACGCGAGGCGTGTGTGTGGGGGGTCATTTTTGTGCGGCTGGTGGTCGCTCAGCTGCGCTGTGCATCAAGATCATCACAGTCTTCTGGAGCATCCGTGCCTGGTCTTGGAGCAAGTTGAAGGCTTTTCGCATCTCTTCAAGCTGCGCCATAGTCTCCTCTGAAGACAGGGTAAAGGATGGCAAAGGATTCAGAGACTTGACGCGTCATGCATCCGGCTTCGGGCTCGCCTGGAGTTGCTGCTCCACCTGTGCCCCAGCAACGTTTCGAGCCAAGCTTCTGACATGCAACTCTCATCGCCCCATGTTCTGAACTCGTGGCCCCAGCGCCTGCGTCCGCTCCTGCATGGCCTGCTGCGCCCGCTCCTCCTCGGCACGCTGGGCCTCCCGCCAGCGCCTCTGGCAGGAAACGGGAGGAAACGAAGCCTGGCTCCTCTTCTCATCGCATACTACACATCTATGCTAGCTAGTACGCTAAGCACCTCATCATTCAAACCATGAAACAAACGCAATCACATCTATATTCAAACAAAAGCTCCAGGGCTTTTTGTTGAGCCCGTGGCTCCGCCGTGGCTGCGCTGGCCAGCGCCAAGCATCGCTGAAGCCTCGTAACACTAATTAGAATAATTAGACTCATTTGTAGACTCAATGACAGACTTCGCCTACCATCTCCATCCGGTACCATATGCTATGGCTGCGCAGCACGCTTTCTTGACATGGTGCCAGATTCCCAAAGCGCGTAAGCTCCAGGCAGCTGGGCTCGACGGCGTACAACATCCAGCCGGCATGCGCTGTCCCGCAGTGACGGCCTGAATTTGAATCTTTGAGTCCGAGTGTGAGGGTTCAGCATAGTTCAGGGGCAGCCCCATGACACTGTGCCACTGAGTGCCACTATGCCCATTCGCGAATCGCAAAAAGCAGCGCTGGGTAACCAGTCGGAATAGGCGTTTCGACCTTTATCTTGCCGTCAGCCCATCCGAACACCTGCGAGAGAGCCAGCGAGCGAGCAACAGAGAGAGAGAGAGAGCGAGCGAGAGAGAGAGAGAGAACGGCAAATAGCACAAAGGAGCACATTCGCTGATTCACGGAGGCCCGCACCTCCAAGCGAAAGGACGGATGACTCTGCCTGGCACCGTAGTAGCACTGGCACACATCTTCAGAAATCAATGCTTGTTAGTCCACGCCGACTGGATCGCTGAACGCCGTGGACAGCGCCCTCGCTGTGATGCTCAAGTGGCTTCTGGGGGTCCCCACCACTCCTGCGGGCAAATCCGCAAAAAACGCACTGCCCGCGGCGGTTGCGCAGTGCCCAGCGGAATGAAGCCTTGTCCAACGGAAAAAAGAGCTGTTCATGAGCTTCGTGACTTGAGCCTATATCCCCATGCAATGTGAAGCCCACTTGTGCCTCTTTTGGGCATTCGTACTTGGCGGCTTCAGGGTGGGTTTAAGTACTGACTTAAACCCTGAGAGCGTAGAGAGAGAGAGAGAGAGGGAGAGAGAGAGAAAGAGAGAGAGAGAGAGAGAGCGAGGAAGGGAGCGAGGAAGGGAGCTTCAGGATGTTGGTTGGCTTAAGGTTTTGGGGGCCCTGAAACCCCCCCCATTTTGGAAAAGGGTTTAACGGTTTCGGCAGGGATTCCGGAAAGTGTTTTTATTATTGGGGGTACGTTTAATAAAAGGGGGAAGGGATTACACTGAAGCCCAAACCTGGCGAATCGGTGAGGGGCCCTCAGATTGCAATATGCTAGACAGGCTAGACTGCGCAAACTTTTCTTCATCTGTCGAGACACGTGAGCTCAGCATACGTCAGCATCATACATATATCTTCGAGATGCCGATGTGGAGAGTTTCTGTCACAACTGAGGGCCCCACGAACGGTCTCTGGATCCATGCAGCCCTCGAAGACGAAGGGACTGCTTTCCTTAAACTCCAAATTGTGAAGGCCGAAGGCCGAAGGACCCCTACAAATCCGGTGCTGCACTCTGAGTCATCTGACAGTCATTTGAGTCTTTTTGCCTTTATGGACTCGGGCGCACGCGCCTTGCGCCGTCAGCGGCGCCCATTCTTGCCCCTTCTCGCTCCAAGACACGGTAAACTTTGTTACCTGGCGGGAAGCAGAGATGAAGCCGATCGCTGGGAAAATGTTAAAACCTCTCCCACATGCCAGTTTGGATGTTGTGCCGGCAGCACCCACTGGTCAGAGACGTCTAACAAACCTCCGGAAGATCCCTCGAGCTTCTTCCTTCGCGCAAGTCTTCGCCCCAAGAGAGAATGCAAGCACTGAATGGAATGAGTGCAAAATTTGAAAGAGAGAGAGGGAGAGAGGCGAAGAATCAAAAAGTGCATTGAGAATTGCGAGCTGCATACCACACACGACACCATGCAGCATACGACAATGTGGTACAATGTAGTAGTACAATGTAGTACAATGCAGTGCAATGTGGTACAATGTAAGTAGTAATGATTAGTAATGTAGTACAATGTAGCATGTGACAACATTGTGACAGAAACTGCTCGACAGCTCCTCAAGCCGAGGTAGCAGAGCAGCTGCAAGAGCCGGTTGCTCTCCTTTGATTTGAGAGAGCACACACACACACACACGGAGACATATATATATATAATATATATATACATACATATAATATATAAATATAAATGGTGTGTGTGGTAAGTTATTCAATTCTTGCCGCCCTGGTGCGACTGTGTTTTTGCCGCCCAAGATGTCCGAAGGGCTCACCTTCATTGGGGCGACCTCCCAAACTCACAATCCAAGATGTTTCCGACGCATATTCGGTCACATTCCGACCTTGTCTTGCAGGCCTGCGCCCTTGAGGGCATGTCCCTGGGTCAGCTTACCGCAAGGAAGCCGCTACATCGACATCAATTTGGAGAACGATTGTCCGCCAAACATTCTTGAGCCGCGATTATAAGACCTCGTGAGACCTTTAAGCTTCAGCAAGACGAAACGTTTGGAAGACGATACGACGGTTCATCTGAGACGCCATCCCATCCAGTCCATCATCACAGACATCATCTCTCGCGGCATCTCACCACCGCAGGACACCCCGCTTGCCGACACCCCCGGACCACCGAGAAGGTTGTTCGCGCCCGCCCGCCCCACGTGCCAGTCTCACCACACCCCGCGCAGAAAGGTGGTTTGCGCCCAGAATTTCGCGCCCCACACAGCGTCACGATGCGTCACGACACCTCGCGGACACCGAGAGGGTTATGTCGCGCCCAAAATTTCGAGGACGCCCCGCATGACAGCGCGATTCTCAGGAGGCGCGGTGCGTCCCTTTAAAAGCATGTTCCAAGCATATTCACATGAATTGCTGAATTCGTCTCGGCTTCTGGCCGATCGGTGTCTGGACCGAAGCGCTTCGAGGAGCCACCATAGTCCACCGATGCCGCGGCACCCGGCCCCCTGCATTTTGCCTGGGATCCCTTGTCCTGCATGGGAACCTCCCTGAAATCGATTGTCGCGGCCTCGCTGTGCAAGTGGAAGTGCCCCCAATGGGGTTGCCGAAGCCCTCTTGAAAAGGGGCTTGGCATGGCTTTTGGTCCCAGGCAGTGCAGTTATTTGAGTTGAAGGGTGTTTCGACAGCATAGTAGGTCTCGGGCCCTGTACAAGGCTTGCCAAAGCTTTTTGCCTTGGCGCCCCGTGACCCCCTGTGAACACGCCTTCAAACGTACCCAAACACCTTTTGCCCTTGGCTCCCCCGTGGGACGTTTCTGTGATCCACCCTATACGGGATTGGAACTCTACCTGCGCCGCTGCTCTCCGGTTGGGCCAGCAAGACCACGCACGCAATCACGACATCCATGCATCGACGATAACGACAACTTTCTCGAAAACACTTCCACGACATGTCCCTGCATTCATTAGTATCATTAGTCTCATTAGTCTCATTAGTAGGCCCTGGCATGCTTTTGATGCTCCACTTCACAGGCCACGTGGAGATCTGAGATCTCCAACCGCCTTTGCCAGGAGGAGCTCGAAGAAGTCCACCTGCAGCTGTGCCAGGGCCGCCAGGGTATGGGCAACTTCAGGGGCTTTCCAATGTCCCCCCCCTGCATGTCTTCCTAACCCGATTTCCCGATTGCTCACCCGCCTTAGCTTGGCGGTCGGCATTCTGAAGCTGCTTGTAATCCAGCTGTTCTGCAGAAAAGTCAGGCCTGCGCTCTTCAGTTCTGCGTCAAAAGCTCTGCTCAGCAGGTGGGTGAATGGTGCACTGCTACGTGCTGGCACAAATTGTCATTCTACGGTAGGCCCCCGCGCTTCCCAGCAGCCAGAGCCTGGCTCACAAGAACTGGCATGTGGACATGTGGACAGAGAACACCCCGAAAGAAGAGAAACATAGATTTTGCCGGGCTCAGGCGCCTGGTGCCGCCCGTGAGCTGCCTTCTAGCACCCGAATTGGCAGAAGACTCGAAGAGTAGCTCGAAGGCTTGCAGCACAGCTTCATTACAGCTTCGCTCCGGTATGTGAGAAAGGATTTGGACAGGCCCGGCCACCACGATGTCGTGTATAAGCCGCACCGGGGGCCGCTTGAAGATCCTGAGCCGTACTTCGTGCTTCGCCTAGTGACGTGCAGTGCGCTTCGGTAGGCAGTGCCTGACAGTGCTTGAGATGCCGGCCTGCTCGGAGGCAGCGGGTCGCCAGGGTCCAAGAGCTGTCGAGGAAAAGTCGCCCGCAGAAGCAGTCAGAGACCGCCAACATCAGCTTCGCAAGCCGCAAGCCGCACCCGGTCCTCTGCCAGCAGGGGCCTTGTTGCCTCCCAATCGCCACAGAGGGGCCTCCCATATCCGCTAAAATCTTGCGGATGCAGAGGATACTGAGAATGAACACCATTCGGCAGTCGCCTTCGGCCTTGCAAGGCCAAGCTGCTGACCTCCGCGTGCAACAAAGTTACAGACAGTTACATAGATAAAAAGTGGGGGCATATTTGTGAGCATGTCCACAAGTAACCCCTGAGGCTGTTTCCCAAGTCGGCTTGCCCAAATCCACCTGCAACACGTCGGCAAACTCAACAAGTTTGGCAGTTGGAACTGTATCTCGTGCCTGCAGGTATTCCGAAGCCGCATCCGTCGCCGGGCTCCAGCCTCACAGACTCACGAGCGAGAATTTGAAAAAAGCTCTGCGGCTCTGCGTGGCCACTTTTTGGGCGCCCCCCTCAATCTGGGTTCCCGGCCGCTGAAGGCGCACTTCATGCGATTCACCCCGCTGAAGAGCCGCACTGAATTGCAGGCCTCCCGGAGACAAGAAGGGCCGCTATGGCCGCTAGATAGGGGTGTGCAAGCCGGTTTCGGACCTTGCTTGGCGAGTGCTCAATCGATGTGGGATCGGCGGGGTGTTCGGAAGCTTCTCGCCCTCCCCTCTGTCAGGGTTTTCGGAAGCTTGCTTGCCCGAACGTTGTCTCCTCCTAGCTCACACCTGGCAAACGCCCAGGACGGGGTGGGTCCGAAGCATTCAAACACAGAAGAGTTGATGACATCTTCCCATGAGTGCTATTTGTTAGCATTCTTGTATATGAAGTGCTCGAAGCGCTCCGACTACAATACTACCTCCCTCTGGCTATTTGATGCACGGAAACCATGGTGTAGTCACTCTGCAATGCAGCTACTGCATGCTTACGAGCCGGAGCTCTTATGTTATATGGTATATGGTATCCATTGCTCCCGCGGGCAAGGTCAAGAGGGGCAGGCCAAGGCTGAAGTCAAGGAAGAGCGCATCTAAGTTTGGCCGAGTTTTGCAATCCTCTCTCTCCTCTCATTTTCTGCCTGCTGGTTGGAGCTGGCGGAGATGTTGGCATCCGGCAATTCCTGCGCGCACCGTGCTGCGTCCAAGAAGATCGACAAGTTTGGGGTGCTTGCATTTGTGCACCTCTACTTACTTGCACCTGCAGTTCAAGTATAGTACTATTTGGGAGACTGCTATCTATATGTACATAGTAACTACAGAAATCCACACAAGAATTTGTGTGTGGATTTGGCTTGGGAGGCTGTTGGCTCTCTGTGATTTCATGCCACTCAAATACACACACACACACACACAGTCGCTCCTAACACAAGTATTTCCCAACAAGTTGTATAGTGGTTATACTGAGAATAATTCCCCCCCCCCCCCAATTTGCAGCGTGAAGCCTGACTTGTTGTTTTAATTAGGTTTTCGGGTCATACAAAGGACAAAACATGTTATCAATGACGCGAAGTGACTGCCTAGGTCTGACAAACCCGCGTTCTAAACTGTTCCAGCTCAGATGAGAGTTCTCCAAAAGCTGATTAACGGCCAGAACAATGGCCAATAGTCTTGGTAAGCAAAAAAGGATTGGAGATTGTCTAATGCTGGCCCTACGTCGAGTATTCACGCATGAGTGTGTCATCTGGCCTGTGCAAGATGCATGCGCACCTGTATCACGCGCTCGTTCTTTTGCAAGTGCTTCGGTGTTTTGCGACCAAGGGCACTGCGGCACAAACTCAGTTTATCCAGAAGGATGGGATACAGAAACATATGTTGAGTGTAGAGACCCGGCTTCACATTTTCTCCCCAAACCTTTCGATCGCGAGCGGCGCTGTCTCTTTTCCACCAGGGTGCCCAACCCCTTCATTTCCCATGAAAGTCTGCCTCGCTTTTTGTTCTTGTTGGGGGTGCTAGTGGGAGAATGCGGACAAGAGAGCGAGAGCGTGTGTGTGTGTGTACACATAGCAATAATCAATAGTATGATCGCTGTTGCAAGAAACTTTTGCACCCTTCGGAAGCCTCAGCAGCCAGGCCGAGGGGCATGGACAGCGCAGCCGATGCCTGTGGCGCATTGTGGTACATTCCGTCATGCGAGCAGGTGAGGAATCCGAGAGATGCTTGTGCTTAGCTTGTCGCGCCGGACTCAGAAGTAGGTGTTTGTGCACGAACAACTAAACATATCCCGCGCGAGCAGGTGAGAATGCCCCGCAGCCTCCTCGCCGTGGAGGGCCAGCGGCCGTGCCCGCGAACTCGAAGAACCCCCCACCTCGAGCTCGAGCCTCTCAGAGTCTCCAAGTCTTCACAAACAAAAAGGTGCTTAGAGACAAACAGAAAAGATCTGCGAAGATTAGGTGGAAAATTTCAACCCGCAAGACTTTCTGAACTCTGCAGGCTCTGCAGGCGGAAGCCACCCAGAGGCCCAGTCCGAGCAAAACCGGGGAGACAGCAGACGGGGGGGCGGGGGGGGCGGGGATTCTGTGAGATTCTGCTTGCGCCGGCCTGGTCTCCTCCTCGAGCTCGGCCACATCGGCGCCTTCTCGTAAGACGCTGAGCGGCTCTTAGCAGCTAACGCACACTGACTACTACGCTTAGTACTTGCACTTATGTACTTGGACTTATGTACTTCAGACTTGTACTAAGCGGTGCCACTGTACCGAACTCAGCTACACTGTCTTCGAGACATCGGGTGCCTAGGGCACGGCTGCAGTCCACCAAAGATTGGAATTGGCCGACGAAGTCGCCCAATGCCTTGTGGTCCTCGGAGCAGCGAAGACGGAGAAAAGAGACACAACAACAAGCCAAAAAAAAACACGCCAAGCCAAAGCACGGCAAAACTGCGAAAAGCCGGCCGAAGCCAGCAAAAGACACCGCTCCTCAGCGATCTGGCCCCAAACCTTCATCCGGCGGTTGTCCACCCTTAAGGTCCGAGACTCGGAAGCTCTTGCTGACAGGCTGTCCATTGATGCACTGTGTAGCGACCCTCTTCTGAGCTTGTCGCTGGCGGAGGACCAATCCAAGGACCTCGTTGTACTCCTCAGAGACCTCCGAGATATTCGGATCTATGCGACTCACATTCCCGGACGAAGAGAAGAATGGACCGGAGCCTCACTGGCAGCACCACCTTCTTCGGTCTTCTCCTCCTCGTTTGCCACCACTCAGTGGACACGTTGCACGATGCATACGGCAAAGTGCTCCAGTCCTTCTCCTCGGAGCTCTCCAGTGCGATTCCAGCCACCACCCTCTGTACCTCACGCGGTGCAGAGAGGCTGCAGACGAGCCTGCCATGCACACCCACAACTCTACAGAAACTTTACATTTTCACTTCAATCATCCCCACCCCGACAGCTCCCTGAGGAGGGAGCCACCCTGCCGACTTCAGACAGGCGGAGTTCTTTGAGCGTAGGCACTTTAGTATCGGCGCGACGCTTTGGGGGTGAGCACTCGAAGGTTCTCGGCGGGTCTATAAGTTACTCCCCTCTCTGATCTCTCTGCAGGCTGTCGGGCGGACTGCAGGGATGCTCGCCTGACTCCCAGGCTTCTCTGCTGGGATGCTCGGCGGGACTCTCTGGGCACTCTACTACAGGACACGAGACTGGGCGGGACACCGGCGAGGAGACGAGCAGGTCTCACACCGAGGGTGGGTAGATGTGGGTAGGGAAGAAGCAGTATGACACAGGCCTGCGGCATCCAGAGTGCCACCTCGGCTCAGAAGGGAGTGATGAGATCGGTGTCAGGTTCCCAGTCTCAGGCTCCACATTGCGCAAGCATTCCAAAGAAGGGGATTCAACTTCGAAGGAGACATGTTTTTTGTCTAGTTTCCAAAGACGTCGAGAAGGCATCGCCTCGGCGGCCAGCTCTTGCTCCTGCTTGGCCAAGGACTCGAACCTTGTTTGAGTCACGTCCAGCCACATCCCGTCACACCACAACATCACGAAACCATCGTCACGTAAGGTCACTTTGCGCAGCTCGCAGCTGCCTTCACTTCCAGGGCCCGGACTCCCGCATCATGGTTCCCACTTTGCGTTCGGCCTCCAACAGCCCGCAAGGCCGCAAGGCTTCAAACACCAACACCACCGGAAGCTTTCCAAAGAGCGCCTGATGCAAGAGCATTCGGAGGCCTGGCAAACGATTTGATCCTCAATTTTTTCGAGGGTATGGTTTGTACGCGAACAACCCCACTACCAAAAGGCCTGCCCCGCCGTCTTCTTCCTTGCCACCCTCCTGCACCTGCTCAAAGCTGCAAAGAACTGCAAAGTCCCGTCAACCTTGGCCCTCGCCTGCCGCCGCTTCTCGCACCAGTGCTCTACATCGTTCGTCACGGCCTCCTTCAAAAGGCACGCAGCACGGCCTTGGTGTGCTTCTGGGGCGATCTGGAGCAAGCCGAGAACCCGTAACACCAACTTCACCAGCGCACAACTAAAACACCAAGGGAGGCGCTCTCAAACGTTCAAAAACGGTTTTTTGAATATTTGAAGGCGCTCTCCCCAGCCTTTGTCGACAAGACTGGGGCGCCCCGGCACTGTGCCGTCACACGGTTTTCCAGCGACAGCAGCCGCGAGATTTGAGAAGGCCTTGGTCATTGCAAAAAAGATCAGCTTGAATTATAGCAGAATTCTAGCAGGTGTATCAAGTGGCACCCAGCGCAGAGAAGGACAGAAACATGCGGAATGCTGCTGAACTCGCAACATGCTGCTGCCTTTAATTACTGGACTGAGCATTCGTGAGCCCTGCCGAAGCGATGAAAACAGTCAGTGCTCCCTGAGCAAGCAGCCAGCTGGAGGTGCAGGGCCTCGGGCAGGTCTGACACTTCAGATTCACAAATTTCACAACCGAGTGCTCGCATTTCACTTTTGTGGGGGCCCCTGGGGCCTGTGCCAGTGCCTATATACAGGGTGTGCCCAAAGGCTCTAAGCTCCCAGCGTCCACCGGTCGCCGCCCTGCAGCCCCTTCAGCTCCTATCAATGAAGGGGCCGGCTGATGCTCGAAAATGCAAATCGTAGACGCAGCCGCCACGTCCGTTCTCTCTCTCTCTCTCTCTCTCTCTCTCGCCCCCCCTCCTGAACAGTGAGCTCCAGGTCGCCCTGAGAGGTGAGTGACTTAAGGTCTTGAAGCTTTCCGAAGCCTCTTGAGCCGTTTTCTTATTGCGGCTCGACAGGGCATTTAAAAGGAAACTTCTTGGAGAAGGGGTGTCCATGCTTTTGGGATCACGAGTCACACTTTGGCCTTCTCCTCCAGAAGCCTTATCCGGCGCTTGCGCTCCTCGTGCAGGCGCTCCACAGTCCGTTGGGCCTCAGACGCAAGAAACTCTGCTACTCACATGCAAAATTGGCTTCAAAATCTTAAAGCTCAGACTGTCTCAGAACTCCATAGTACTCTACAGTATATCCGCCGATCCCTTGCGGGCCTTGCGGTAGTGAGGGTGGTGTCAGTGAAGGAAGACACATTCGTGTCATGCCCAATGCGACCCTCTTCCTGGCTGCATCTCCCTTCTACGGCACCTCCCTTCTACGGAGTATCTCCTTCGGAGCTATAAAGATGCATTGCAAAGGACATTCCAGGCTTCCGAGAGAAAGCTTGGGCCGGATGACGGGCCGGATGGCCCGGATGGCCTTCTCCTTCACCCCGCACGCCCACCCCCACCGCCCCCCACACCCCCCCCCCCCCCGAACAAAATTAAAAAGCCCTCCGTCTCCGTACCCTGTCCCTTGTGGGTTCGGGGCGCCCGGCTGCAGGCGACCAGCCCCTTACAGATATTTTCTGAGAGCGGCGCCTCCTGCTCCAGGCGCTTGCGCTCCTCCTCGTGCTCCTGCGACTGCCGCTCCTTGTCCTGCACAAGAACGCACAAGGAAGGATGCCATGTGCTTAGTTGGGTGGGAGGCACTTCTTTTGAGAGACTCCGTGGGGGGCCTCCCATGTCTGCTTCATGAAGCTCTCCATCTCCTGGAGCTGCGTCTCGTAGCGGCCTCTCGCAACGTGAAAGACTGTGACACCCATACATATATATGCATACACACATGTAAGGTGCGTACGACATGTATCTTATGTATAGATATAATATGTTGAAAGAGTGTAGAAAAGCTACAAAAGCATGCGGGGTCTTTTCCCATCATTTTGCCCTGCTCTCACTGGATGCTTCCGGCCAAGTGCCCCGTTCTGGGTCCCCGGCTGGTGTCGGCAACGCCCGAGGCTTGCTCAGCCAGCTTGGCGCGCAGAGCCTCGACCGAGAAGCGCACACGAGACGCGACACTGCTGCGACGCAGTGAGACACGACGCGTGAAACGCTCGTCTAAAGAGCAGATTTCCCTGTTTCAGAAACCGCAATATTTGAGGGTGAATGCACTGTCTGCACTGTGCTCACCAAAGTCTTAACAAGCTCTGGAGCTTGCAGCCGGTGCCTCCACCTCCTCCTCAAGCTTCGCAATCTGCTCGGCTTCGTCGTTCCTGATTCTTTCAGGTGCATGTATAGGAAAATGAAAAAAATGTACTCTTCTCAGTACGCTGGAGTCTTCCAAGCCCGGGGCTTCGTGGCGTTCACCTTGATCGTCTTCGCCCGCCTTTCCGAACACAATCGCAACGTATCGGGATTTGCCTTCATCTGGACCTGCGCTGTAAAATGCATAATCTGCTCTAATCCGCCGAGGCCTTGCGCCGTAGGTGTACTACCCTCCCCACCATCCCAACACCCACCCACTCCCACCACCCCCCCCCCCCCCCCCAGCGTGGTTGCGGACTCCACATGCTCAGGGGGCTGTGCTGGGCCAGGCCGAGGCGGGTCGCGCAGCGTTAAAATTACTTTGATTGCTGTTTCGCTAGCCTGAGATTCCTCAAGCGTTCTAGTTTTGGAGTGCTTTTTTGGCATGAAGATGCCACTTCAGATGATTTGGGAGCTGGATGTGCTCAGGTGCGCGTACAGGGAAACTCAACAGTCAACTTTCAACACCCTTCCCCCACCAACTCCACCCTGGTGTTAAATGGTGTAAGGGGGACCAAGGATTGGGCGGATTCTCATTTCGCATACTTGGAATACTCAGGGCCCCCTGCTTGGCGTAGTTCAGGGTGGACAGGCTCTCGTCGGCGTTGGTCCTGGACGGTGACAAGGCCGCCTCAGAGAGCGCTGCCACAGTGAGAAAACATGAGGCTTAAGAAGAGAGCCGGTACAGTATGAACTGAACATGGGCTGGTCTACTTCTCAAGGTTCTTCGAAGGAGGCAGCCGGCATGAGTGCTTCACAACTTGTAACCCAGCAAAACCAAGTAAAGGCAGGAAAGACAACAAGCTCCAAGTCAACTCCTACTTCACAGGGCGGCGCAACGCTATTTTAGCCATCATGCAGCGGCTTATTCAGCCTAGCAATCTGCAGCGGTTTCAGCTTCACTTCGTGGGTTTCGGATTAGATGGACATGTGAGGGAGGATTCGTGGCTTCGCTGGTCGCAATCCAGGGAAGCAAAACAGGAGAGGCTCACCGGCACTCCTACTTCTGAGGGTGGTGCGCGAGCAAAATTGCAACAGGATAGTAAGAAAGCATTCTGCACATGAGTGGGGCAGAAAGCGCAGCCGGACCTGCAAACCTGCAAACCTGACGAAATGTCGATTCGATGGGCAGTGCGCAGAACATCAATGCACGACCCGGGAGCGAACGGCGACAAGTCAGTCACGGCTGGTCTAGCGCTGCAGTGGCGGCAGCCGGGTCCCAACCTGCCCTGCGCACCACCGCACGCGCGTTCTCGCGCTGCAGTGTGATGCTCAAGGCCTGCAACAGTTCGACCTTCTCGGCCGCTGCAGTTTCGCCCATGCGGGTGGCCAAGGCTTCCGCCAATGTCTCCCACGTCTGCATGGCAGCTGGGCCCCATCCCCCCCACAAGCCTCGGCAATTTAAGCGGTACAAATTGCGTGGGTTAAGTCATCCGGGCTTGTTTGTGTACGACTTGCGCACGAGTTGCGTGTGGTTTGGGGCGCGAAGGTAACAGAGACAGAGCCTGACTCGCAGCCCAGAAGCCAGACAGGAGGCTCTGTGTTGTTGCTGTGGCCTGCCTCCCTATCAGGCCTATCGGAGTGGGTTCTGGGCCAGTCGCCATCATGGTGGTCAGCGCATTCCCACCCAAAGACTCCTGCGAACTTCAACATGTCACAAGCCAATCCAACTCATACATCGTGTGTGTACCTATATATGTATATATATATATATGTATGGTTGTAACGATGATAAAACTTAGGATAAACGGACGTCTGGAAGCAATCGGATTAATGATTGACTCGCGCCTGAAGCACCCGCGTCAACTTGGAGTTCCTGTAGGGGATAAAGACCTCACACGCCAAAAACGAAGCAAAAAGGGGCGAGATACATCCTGGAGAAACAGTGGCGAACCATGGCGAAAACGGATTTGCACGGTGGGCTCGGACCTTCTTGTTCCCGGAGGCCATTGTGCTCAAGGCATTGATGACGTTTCCAAGAGCAGACCTCGGGTGGGAACAGGCTTCGGTTGCGGGCGTCAAGAAGAATCTCGGGCCGGCACAGGCTTTTGTTGATGTTGGCGCCTTCTTTGAGGGTGTCGCCCTCACCAGATGCTCCAGACAAGCCAACAGAGCAATTCAGCGCAGCATGGAAGTCCGGCCACCAGCCTGGGCACCCGTCCTGGATGCTCGCTCGCTACCTGCCAGGTCCTCTGCTTGCACGCGCAGAGATGGCCGACGGAAGCGCGACAGAGCAACGCAGGGGAGGATGTGTCAGCAAAGCTACAGAAGCTGAAGTCTGGCGTGAACTACTGAACTACTCTTTGCAAACGATGTAGGTTCAGTCCACGAGGTTCATCTTCGAGAAATTGTTGTTGCCGGCATTCTGCTCATCCTCTCTGCAGTTGCACTATCAAGCAGTCGCGAAGCGTTTGATGCACGCGCGGATGGCAGAACTTTTCGGATGCCTTTTGGTGCATCTTGATGATGAAGAGGCAGTGGGAGCGGCTGCTGGTGGCGTTCATCTGTGTGGCGGCCGTCGCCCGATGCTCGAAGCCTGCGAGAGATGGGGGCGGAGTTCTGAAGAGAGTCCGCAGACCACTGAAAAAGAGTTCGACGCTTTAAGGCGTCCAGCCGAGCCTTGATCGATGAGCTTCAGGACCTTCTCGGAGGAGTCCACCACGATCTCTTGAAGATCCTTCGCAGCAAGCCGTCAATGCGGCAGCACAGTGAAGCGGAGAAAAGAGAAAGACAGAGAGAGAGAGAGAGAGAGAGAGAGTGAGAGAGAGAGAAGGGGGGAGCGAGAGAGAGGTACGAGTACAGAGTACTTCAAACAGACTCAAACCTGTGTATCCATAACGCAACCACCTGCAGAAAACGAGCCCTTCCTGCTACGAGACCTTGAGAGGGGCTCTCCTTCACATAGACTCCGATGCCCTTGCCTTCGCGAATCTCCAAGCCTCCCCCAATTTGTTTTGCGTCAAGCTCAGGTCGTGTGCACGCACACACACACACACACACACACACACACACACACACACACACACACACACACGCACGCACGCACGCACGCACGCACGCACGCACGCACCCGCACGCACGCACGCACGCACGCACGCACGCACGCACGCACGCACACACACACACACACACACACACACACACACACACACACACACACACACACACACACACACACACACACACACACACACACACACGAGTCGTAGGGCAAACGTGCTCGCAAGAGGGGCCCTGACCTGTCTTCGGTGTATTCTTGCCCCTGGGCACCAGGAGGTCGTAGACGATCTGCACACGGGACGATTTGAGGGCGCTGCCGCGCTGCGCAACATGCTGCAGTTAAGCAGACTAGAAAGAATCGCGCAGCGGCCTCGTTGTAGATTTCCAGAAACGAGCAGCAAATCAGGAACTTGCGGGTCTCCTGCGCCAAAGCTCAATGGTCTGGAGAGTCGAAGGCCGCTGAAAGCTCTTGAAAAGCTCTTGGAAAGCTCCCCAACTGTCTGCGAGTGTCTCAGTACTACAGGCTCTCCGAGGAGAGCTTGGAAACGCGCTGGAACAAGTTGTCCGAGATTCGAGGCACCCTTAGAGTTCCGAACGGCTGCGCATCGCAATCAGCTTCTTCCCCAGTTTATGGAATGACAGCAGCCACTTTAGGGGGCAGCAGTTCTATCAAGGCAAGTTCCTAGATGCTACAAAATCGATGCAACGGCGGGATTCTCTCTCTCTATCTCTTCTTGGTTTCTTTCTCTTTCTTCCTTTCTTCCTTTCCTCCTTTCTTCCTTCTCTAGGGGCTCGGGGGAAAACCCCCGGGCGTCATCGCCCGCCCCGGTATATGGGGCTGTGCGTTGGCTTGGAGAGGTGCCTGCTGTGCCACTGGTACTAGCCCCCCCATGCCCCAACCCCACTATTCAGCGTATCCGTGGCTCCGCAGCAGGCCCCCCATCCTGTGTTCCGGCCACCTGGTTGGACCTTCGTGAAACTTCTGTACGTTGGCCTGTCGGTCTTGGGCCCCTCCTTATTCCCCCTAACCTGCGACCTTTGTTCCCCTTACCCAGTGCCCTAAGTGCCCTACCTCAACTCGAACCTTCCCCCCCCCCCCCCCCCCCCCCCCCCCCCAACAACTGCAACCTGGCCTCAACCACCCCGAAACCTTCCCACATCCGCCGACCCTCAACTCACAAGGACTTATCGCCCCCGACCAGGCTGTGGTGAGACTGTGTCGACCCCCTTCCCTTGAGTTAGGTCTCTCTCTCTGTCTCTCTCTCTCGCATGCCCTCTGCTATCAAATCCCCCTCAAAGCCTAGCGGCAAGCCCCGGTCGTCGGACTTGCGATCGGCCATCATCGTGTGGGTCTTTCCAGAACCCGTTTGGCCTCGGCTTTAGAGCTGTGCAGAAAACCTTCCGTTGTCAAATGGACAGATACATACCTTTAAAACATACGGAATGTTTACATATATGATATATGCCAGCCACACTCCCCCCCTTGCGCCCAACCTGTTGTGATTTTGAACACGTGTTTTGAACCAACGCCTATTTAAGCTGTGCTCATCTAATACGGATTGCAGACTGACGAGCTTCACGACTGCTTTTGGCGCGGAATTCGCGAAGACGATTGAGTTTCGAAGGGCATGCCGGGTCTGCAACGTACTTGCCAGAGATCTTGATTCATAAGCCAATGCTGCTATGTGCAAGGATGTACGTTGGTTACTGACTGTGGGCAGCAATGGGCAACTAGGACGCGGCGCGGAATGCCTCGACATATATGCGACTCAGGGGGTTGGGAAGCACAGAACCATGGAAACCGGAGAGGCGTGGGCTCTGTGGGCTCTGTGGGCTTCCGAGCACCCCCTCGCCTTCCGCGACCCTTCCGCGGAGCTCCGCTCTCCGAAACGGCTTGGAAAGCGAAGGGGCGCGATTCTTATGCTTGCCGGCATGTTGGGCGTCAGCAATACAATGCCGAAGCAGCTTTTGGCTCATCATAGGTTATCTATTCATTCAAATTTTCACACACTGACGGGAAAATGTTCTGCGAGCCTTCCGCGAACCCTTCCGCGATCTTCCGCGCAAGCTCTGTTTGCCTCTTCGGCCCTTCCGTGGAACTACTAGTTAACATTACTCGAACTCCTAAACAATCGCAGCTCACATGTGACTTATATCTTGTAAGAAGCTCTTGAGCAAGGTAGTTCCCCACGACATGTTGAAATTGAAAATTATTCTTGATGAACATAATTGGAGGCAAGTTGTAGTGTCATAGTTGTACTGTGCGAATAACCGGGAATATTGCAAGAGAATGAAGGACGACAACACGTCTTGAAATTGTTCGTTATCGATCATCATGCGCAGTTTCTTGTACTTTGGGGGCTCGACATATACTGTTCGTCGAATTTGTTTACACCATGGCTTGTAACTGAACAGCATGATCCCGTCCACTGAGCCAATTGAGCTTATAGGACTCTTACGAGGGGGATATCCATTCCCTCAAGTTGAACCGGTCCAGGATATTGGAAGAGTATGAAAGACAGCTGCTGGGACAACCGCTGTGCCAAATAATCGCCATAATCAGGGTCGATGTTTTTGTAATTTGCAGCTGATGAATTACCAGCAGGGGGCTAGTTTTTTTTTCGTAATCAGAGGCCAAATTTTAGTCGTTGTTGAATTCACCAACAACATGGCCTGCAGTTCGAAAGCTTATCAATCGACAGGGTTGAGCTGCCTAGCTGGATGCGTATTCCCCCAAGTTTGAACTGAACATGATTTAATGGGCTGTTTTTTGGGACAGTCAAGCGCTTTGGAAAATCTGTTTATGAAGATTGCTTGATTGGGACAGTACAGCGTTTTTGCCGTCTGAGGCCGCCAAATTGCTCTACAGTCCAAGACACCAACCCAAACGATAAAAGTGCAAAACCGCTGTACTTTCCCAAAAAACTATCTTCTAAAGGGCAAAAGTGCAAAAACGACGCTGTGCTGTCCCAAAAGCCAAACAAACAATCTTCAGAGGCCTTGCTGCACTAAATGGCCTGGATGTCCCAAAGAATTAACTCTTTCTTCTTGTGGGGACAGTACGGTGGTTTTGCTGAAATAGATAGGTTTGTTGGGGCAGTACAGCGTTTTGCGACTTGAGGCATCCAAAGTGCACTGTTTGCAGTCCCATTGTCCAAAAAAAGTGTTCAAAAAAAACCCAAAGTAGTGTACCGTCCCAACAAATGCAGTGCTTTAAATTAAAGGTACCACATGATACATATGTGTGTATTTTGACATCTCTTTATTAACGTATTTGCAGTAGAGTATGAATGCATCATGCATGAGAGTAACATGCGCGCAGGTCACGAGTGTGCCCCACTCACTCCTCCCCAAGTCATACATGAACTTTGTGATTTCTTCCGCCTCGGCACAGCCTGCATCGCACTGGTGGCACGCATGCGCGTGGCTCTCGCTCGAAGCCTGTTTCTTCCATTTCGGACGCTTGCCTTAGCCCGGGGAGTGCCCTGGGCTGTAGGGGGCCGCAGCGCCCTCGTTCGGAAGTTCACGTTGTTGAGATGCAAAATGTAAATTCCAGGTCTTGCAGCGCTCTGCGACTCTGCGCTCCCGCGACTCTACCGCGCTCTCCGGCTTGGTCTCACCATGTCTCACCCCGTGCCACATCGTACCACTCTGTTGATCGAATTGTCTTACGTGCGCTGTGTGGCTGCGATGCTCTCAAAGCCTCTACTCGTAGGTGGGGCGATTTGGTGCGATTCATACCGTTGTAGCGAACTACTGGCTTGGTGTCTGTGCCTGCAAGTGCTATAGTTCGACAGTTTGACAGCTTGCCTAATCTAATCTGCAAATCTTCAAGGTCAACAGGCCAGCCTACTTCTGAGGGTGGTGCGAGAACAAACCCGAAAAAACAGCCCAACCAAAGGCCGTAACAATGCGCCTGCGGATTACGAAACACAACCCCAAGGGGGACGGACTCCGAATTGCGAATTCCAACGTGCCTAACGCTGGAGAGGACGGAACAAGCGCCCGACCATATGCAAAGATAGTGGCATTGTAGCCTTCGAATGCCTTGTCCTCGCAATCGGTCCGCACATGCTCTGAAAAGCCTGCTTCCATGCATATAATCGTACACATAACATACTGCTACTCTGCAAGCCGCAGTCCAGCAGCGGATTACCAAGCCTGGGATGTTCAGAGAATCGTCCGACACTGGTGCTTCAAAGGACATGAGGGCCTCTCATGCGGGCTTCTTGCGGGCCTATGAGCACCCCTCTCTTTTGCAGCCCAGGCCACATCTCGAAGACCTCCGGTTGGGTCGAGTCCTTGCCAAAGACCTCGGGGGCCAACAGGAGACCAGATTGCAAGATGCCACCCAAGCACTGACAGCATTAGCTAATTAATGCTCTGCTCCTTCGGCCTTTGGAATTGGAGAGGCCCTGGCGTTGTCAAAGGCGAACACGTTGGGCGGTTGGTTCTCCTGGTGGAGCGTCACCGTGTTGTCTTTGGCGACCTTTTGCAGGGTCAAGTCCCAACTCAAAACTTCCCGCAAAAAAAAATGATTCGGCTCCGACTGTATTCTATTCACAAGCTTCTTCCCCGTGCAATCAGAACAAGCTTAATCCACGTTTTTTGGATGGAAACCTTCAGCTGCAGCATGACATGATCACAGGCCCAGCACAGCCTTTATGTGGAACAAGGCTCAGGGTAAGGTTAGACCGAGCCGAACAGTTCTTTGCCAAGTAAACTAGTGGTGGTTTTTGTTTCTCCCACACATGCGACAGGAACATACAAGTATAAGCCTACGTAATTTCCCAAACAGCACATGCTATTGAACAGGGGCCTGGATCAAACTCTTTGCGGCCGGCCAAAACGCGAAGAAGACGGACAAATCCGGAAATCATGGAATACGAAGGGAATCGGGAAGGAAACCATGACCACAACGGTAGGTACATTGCCAAGAACCAGGCGATCAGATGCTAAAGACCCTGCCAAGAACCAGGCGGCCACTCGGTAGGCAACCGCAACGGTAGGTACACTTCCAAGTCCATATGTTAATAAGAAAACCTCTATTTCCTGTGTATGCTACTAGGAAAGTGCAGAAAGCAACTATTTCTTTGTTTTGGTAAGCAAAAGTCGAATTCCTCTGTATATTAGCGACAAAACTCCACTTGCTAAATATTTTCATAGGAAACACTAGGCCCTAGACAACAACAAACAAAACGTTCCCGAAAACAATCGAATGTAATATAATTCCTCGCTCTTCGAATTCGCCTCCACGCACTCCACGCCACCCTCCTTGATCTCCTTCTCGCTGAGTGGTCGTACGCGAACAGCCACCTGAAAACTCAGTCGCTTCTCGGCGTCGCTGGGCTCTTTTGGCCATGGACTTTACAAAAGGCGCCTTCAAAGCTTTAAACTTCACAAACCAACTACATGCACAATTACAAGGGTTACATATAGACATATATATATATATATATTTATCCGCCGACCCCAGCGGTAGCAGGGCGGCGTCAGTGAAGACCCCCCACCGCCCTCACCGCCCTCACCCGCTCTCACAGCATGCTGCTCATGACACCTTGAATTGGAGTGTTTTTGCATTGTTTGGCATCAGTGCATGCCCAAACCCCGCCACCCAATTTCCCTCACCCATGACGCCTTGAATTGGACTTTTGACCCCCCCCCACCCCATCCATTCAGGTGGTTTAAAGGGTCCAATCCATACCCGACCACCCCCACGCCCCCCCACCCCCCCCCCCCCCCCCCCCCCCCCCCCCCACTGACAAATCCCCCCCCACCCCCCCCCCCCCCCACACCCCCCCCACCCCTTCCCCACTTCCCCCCCCCACCTCCCCCCTCCCCCCACCCCCCCCCACCCCCCCCCCCCCACCCACCCCCCACCCCCCCACCCCCCCCCACCCCTCCGCCACCCCCCCCTGCCCCTCGCTGACGCCCTCCTCTGCCTCTCATCACCCCTCCCTGACCAACCCTTTGCCCTCAACCCCCCGCCTCGACTCTGAAACCCCACCCCCCCCCACCCCCCCCATCCCGACCCCCGACTCCGCCCCTGACAAATCTCTATTTGAGGGATTCCAATCCACGCCCGCCCTACCGCCTCCCCGCTCTCATCACTCCCCTGCCTTCCGCCCCCAATGAGTCAGACCCCCCTTTCCGCCAGCCGCCCCCACCCTCTCCCACTCCCACTCCCTAACCCTACCCCCCACACCCCCCACCCCCGCCGCCCCCCTTTCCACCCCCACCCACCCCCACCCCCCCCGCCCCCGCCCCCCCCGCCTGCCCGCGCTCCACCCTGCCTTCCGCCCCAATGCGACTGTCTTGGGTCTGGGGTCGGCGGCACTGGCGGTAGCCATTAAATTTATTTATTTATTAAATACATCAGATTTGCGTTTGCAGTCCTGCACCGTGGTAGTGCCGACATCTGCATCTGCCATGGCCTGTCAGGTCCGGTTGCCCGTCCCAAGCACGGCCGGATGCATCTGGTTTCTTGGTTGAAAGTATCTGAAGCACCAAAACACACTTCACGAGAACTGCACAGACTACTCGCTTTCCTGCGGCTCCTGCGCAGCTTGTTGTCTTCGAGCCTCCCCCGGCACCGGGGAAGCGCAGCAGCAGGCCAGCTCCGATTTGATGGAGAGAAGATGAGAGAATGCTGGTTTGGTGGTTTAGTGGCTTGCTTGCGTCGCATCTCTAGCAGTCTGGGTAAGCGTGTCGTCCAATGGCACTTCCGGGCTCTGCTGCATGACTGCCCGATGAAGTTCATCTCACCAAGCAAAATGGTCATACGCGACACCCATATCATGAGATGTCCTGAGTCATGACAGTGAAGGGGCCAAATGCAAGCCGGCACATGGCAAAGCAGCGAAGAGTGCGCGAAGCAGAACATTTCGATTTGATCGCTCTGGAACTCTCTTCTTTTCGCACCTCGACTCTCCACGTGAGAGGCCGCTTCGCGGCCCTCGGTCCCAGAGCCCGCAGCACCGCAGCCTCTGAGCAAATACGACCTTCTTGGCAATGGGGGAGCATGTTTGGAAAACAAGAAATGCTAAGGAGATGTCCAACGTGTGGTGTATGTTGGGTCGTGTCGGCACGTATGGGTCGTACAGTTATTCAGTTATACAGGTTACGGGGAACACTGTACGAGGTAGAGGTCGGCAGTTGGGCAGCATTTGCTGTCAACCACTCCGCACATTGAATTCTGCGCATGGCTTCCGAAGGCTCCAATGGTCTGGAGGGATCCTGTCACGTCTCACTCCACTGTGTCAAACCCTTCGTCCCAGCCTGAGAGATGTGACAAAGGAGACAGAACTACATGAATCTCTGGAAACGGTGTGAGGCACCGCATTTGGCTTTGGAACCCAAAGAAGCGATCCCGAGGATGCTGTGGACAACATGCACCGACTGGGTAGAACGTCCCATGTTTGTGGCCCACATCCATGCATCCGGGCAGAGGTCTGCAGAGTTGCTCAGCCCTGCTTGTGCCCTGCGTCCATTCCGCGTCATGTCTCGATCACTTGTGAACGAGCTGAACGTTTCGGTCTCTTGTTCTCAGCGCACTTGGAACATGTTCCAGTTCCCAGAGACTTGGTATGCACGGGGCCCGCGCCGTCCTCGGGGTCCAGGTAAGGCATCGGCTCTGGGATATCCTGTGAAGTTTGAGGATCACACAAGAAAACCACACAAAAGAACACACGTCAAACCATTGAGCCATCAAGGCATCAAGCGGCTTCTTGCTTGCGCTTCCGGTACCATCTCTCTTGTTCGCTCCCATTGCGTATCCTCGCTCTACAGCAATGATGTTCACATGGGCATACTTCCGCGAACATTGCAGTATTGCTTGCTGCTGCTTGCCCATGTCTTACCTTCTTGCGAGGGGCATGGGAGCCCTGCCTTAGCCTCCGCAACCACACGGCAATCGTCTGGCTTGGCCGTTCCCTTCTCCTCTCCTTCTCCCTGCTGAGAAGGCTCCTTCCTCCCCAACCCTTCCCTCGGTTGTCCCTCTCTCGCTCTTCTTCTACCGATTCTACCGGCCCTATAAAAAAAGCCTTCCAAAATGATTCTCTTCATTCCTTCCACTTCATCCCTGGCGGAGAAAAATGGAACGACTCTGTAAACTCCTTCGGGGAATCCCCGATTCCTTCACTCGGAATCTCGGAACTTCCAACCTTCACCTCGCGCAGAAAGTGTCAAACAAAAAGAGGCCTTGGGGTCAGCGAAGAAGTTGGAGAGGTCCTCCGAAAGCGCTCTCTCTATCTTTTTCTCTTTCTTTCTTTGCATTTTTTCTCTCTCTTTCACCCTCTCTCACGCTCTCTCACTCTCTCTCACTTTCTCTCACTCTTCTTTTTCTTCTTTTTTTTCTTCTTCTTCTTCTTCTTCTTCTTCTTCTTCTTCTTCTTCTTCTTCTGCAGGGCTTGGGGGGAAACCCCCCGCGCACCAGGCGCGCCCGGAGGTGAGTCAGGTCCAGGTGAAAGTATGACGGTGGGCTCTGGGTTTGGTTAGGTCTATCAGCCCCTCGGTGCTGTGTCGTTTTCCCCGGCCGTATTGGCGTGGGCGACCCCCACCTCTCGTCCCACCGGTGAGAATCGGTGCTGTTGTCTTTGTGCCCCTTGCAGCGCCCCACAAACAAACACGTAACCCTGGTTCCAAAAGTCCTACTGCACCGTCGCATCTGAAAACTTGCTGTGTGTCCTTTAGCTCTTTGGATTCTGTTCTGGGTAGCAGTCTTGCCACGATCAAAATAAAAGGGGCTAAACCTTGCTCCTAGGGTCCTCTGTGCTCACTCACTCTCTCTCTCTCTCTCTCTGCACGCATGGCCCCCCCGCAGGGAGGCCGCCCCTCGGGGCGCGCGATGTCCTCTCTCTCACTCTCTCTCACTCTCCCTCACTCTCTCTCACTCTCTCTCACTCTCTCTCACCCTCTCTCTCTCTCTCTCTCGCTGTCGCTCTGTCTCTCTCGCTCTCTCTCTCTCTCTCTCGCTCTGCACTCTCTTCTTCTTCTTCTTCTTCTTCTCCACGCTCAAGAGGGTCCCCCCGAAAGGGGTCCCCCGGCCACGACGGCCCAGCGGTTCTTGCACTCTCTCTCTCTCTCTCTCTCTCTCTCTCTCTCTCTCTCTCTCTCTCTCTCTCTCTCTCCCTCTCCTTCCGCAGCACATGGCCCCCCGAAGGGACCGCCCTCATGGGCGTGCTCCACCGAGTTGTGTGACACAACCCCCCCCCCTGTGTGTTCAGGTAGGGAGTGAAAACAAGGAGGAACTCGGTCAGCGATGGAAGTGAACGTGTGGCGAACATGATGAACAGTGTATGGCTGTGTGGTTCCTCCCAGATTGTTAGTGCCTGGCAAAAACACGCTGTCCCAGAAGCCTCTGCTGGGTTGACCTGGGTCTACCGATCGGTGTGTGTGGAGTGAGACCGCCCTGAATTCAGGCCATGGCACTTTGTGGGAAGCTTGTCACAGAAAGCAAGAGCTCTGTGGATAAAGCGCTGCCGGGGAAGGCTCCCCCCACAACGGTTTGGCACTGGCTGGGGAGTGTGTAGAATCCTATCTCAAGTTAGAGTAGTGGTCCAGCAGGTTGGCATGGACAAGGTAAAGGGGTTGTTCCGAAGCGCCTTTCCATTTCCCCCCCCCCCCCCCAACAAACGAAGATCCCCCACAATCACCTATAAGCATTCGGGACCCACGAGGGGAGGGAGGACGAGTGTTACAGTACTCCCGGAAAGTGTTTACACGAAGGCTGTTTTCCTCAACGAATCACCCTCAGTTGGGGTTAGGTGGACATAGTCGTGGTTGTGGTTTCACGTTCGGGTTTTTCACTGTCTGTGCCGTTGAGGTAGTCGACGACGTTGTGGACGATGACGGCGGCGTTGGCACTCCCAGGGTCGTGTCATCCTGCTGTCTGTTCTTGTAGGAGTAGTAGTGTCTGAATGGCCTGTTGTGCTTGCGTTCGTAGCCCTTGCAGGTGTTGTTGGGGATCTGTCTCCAGTTCTGCTTCTGGCCGGGTCGTCCCCCGCAACTTTGGGGATCTTCTTGGGGGGTGGTGGCCTCTTGGCGGTTGTCGTGGAGTTGTGGTAGTGGTCGTGGCGCTTCCTGTCTCTTGGGTGCACTTGCCTCTATGTCTCGCCCCGCCTCTCTGCCGTGTTTGTCTTGACCTCTGTGCTATTTCACTTGCCCTTGTACCAAGCGGTGGTTATTCATCTGGCTGTATCGTTGGCGGCGGTGGCGAAGTTGGCTGGGATGGGGACGACGCCTGGCTCGAGGTTCGTTGTTCAATCTGTAGTGCTTTGACAAGCCACGCGGCGATGGTCTCAGGGGTGGCTCCCTGTAGGCCTTGGCTGACTCCCGGAAGACACTGTGGAGCGTGCTTGGTGCAGAATTTGGTGTGATCCCCTTCATCTCTTTCGGCTCCCGCTTGCCGTGGGTCGTCCGGGTCTGCGTGAATCTCCCCCTCGCATCTCGAAGCCTGGTTTTCTGTTTCCTCCTCGCGAAGCGTCCCCGTGCGTCTCGGGCTCTGGGAGTGGCTCGCCCCCCATGTTGGTGCACCGCGATTTTGGCCATGGCAGTGGGGGTATTGGCTTTCAACTGTGGTGGGGCATACACTGGCATAAACGTCAAGGAAGGGTGGAAGAGGTATAATGGTCAGCGACAGTGCGGCAAAGAGAATGGCATTTAATGGTACTCTAGGAGTTTTGGTCTGCTCCCTCGCTCACCTAGTTAGGGTGAACACAGGTGACGAACAAAGGCTCAACCCGGCATGCGCCCCCCGAACGGAAACCTGACTGCTTTTAGGGTGTAGTGGGCGGCGAGGGTTGTGAGGTTCGAGCCTGTGGCGCGGCTGACTCAAGCCGGGGTTTGGGGGCGGGTTCCTCCCCCCGACTTGAGCCAAAATGGTCCCTCTCTCTCTCTCTCTCTGCACGCTTGGCCCCCTCCCGAAGAAGGCCGGCCCCAGGTCTCTCTCTCTCTCTCTCTCTCTCTCTCTCTCTCTCTCTCTCTCTCTCTCTCTCTCTCTCTCTCTCTCTCTCTCTCTCTCTCTCTCTCTCTCTCTCTCTCTCTCTCTCTCTCTCTCTCTCTCTCTCTCTCTCTCTCTCTCTCTCTCTCTCGTTCCCGTCTCGCACAACGGATAAAAGAGAATGAAAGTTACACTTTATGCCCTTCCACTCCTCCACTCTTCTACTACTCGTTCAGGTGTTGCACTCACACCCATGCTCTTTCCTTATATCGTGTGGCTTCAGGCCCACAAGCCCGGCGCGATTATTGCGCTCCCCGGCTCATGCCCTCTCCTTCGCTCCCTCTCGCTCTCTTTCTGGTGTGCAAGGGGGGCGGCCTCATCGCCGGCCACTTCGGGCATGTAGGGCGCCGGCATCTCGCCCGTCTGCCAGGAAACCGGCAATGTCGTATAAGATGTAAGATAACTTAATTTATGGGTAAGGGGTCATTTTGG